CTAGTCAGAATCAACATGCGCTGTCCATTTATTGCAAATGATTTATAAAAAAATGATTGTGATGTTGTCGAAGCCTGCTAGTGCGAAAACGGATGCGACACCAAAGGAGGCCTTATCGATGCTTACAAAGATGGTTACTAAGTTAAAGATGGATTCATATCTCAACAATTCACTATCGAAGAAGAATCAATCATTGGGTTCCCTAATTGCTTGACGGTAGTGTAGCTTCAACTCCAAGGCAGCAGCAGCCGCCACCAAGGTAGAAGTGGCTAGGAGGGCGGAGAGGGACCATGATTTGGATTCAGATCAGAAGGAGCGAGATGGGGACAAGTAAAGCAGCATCGCAAAACCTAAGACGAAGGAGATATCAAAGGTATCAGGAACAAGGGGCTTAAGGACTAATAAGAGTCGTGGCAAACATGTTGGTTCTTATTCCAAGAACTCCAAGCAGTCTCCTACGTTGAAGCCTAGCCCAAACGTCAATGAGACTACTGAAGCTCCAACAAAGGTAAAAAAAGAAGTCTGTAGCCGCTCCATCTAACGTGACACCAAAGAAAAGGAACATGATAGGAAATATTTGAGTTCGCAAGTAATCCTAACGGATATACTTGAGTTCGCAAGCAAACCTAACAAGAATTTGGTAAAAACAGCAAGAAGAAACAAGAATAATGATGCAACAACCCAAAAATCAATAGATTTTATTAAGCAACTCAAAGCAAAGCAAGAATAAGAAAATATACAAATGATCCTTTATTCGATGATCGTTCTCTCCCAATATCTAGACACTAGGTCTAGAGCCCAAAACTCCCAAGAAACTACAAGAGAACACAATACTTAGGCATACCTACCCCTTCCCCTCTCTTCCCTATTTATAAACCTCCTAAGCCCTAGCAGCCCCTCTCTCCTTGCCAAAAATATCTTTATTTTAATTTTTAAATCCCCTAATGGACCCCACCTTGGGCGGCAACCCAAATTAAGGTCGTGGGCCCCATGGCTTAGGCAGAAAAGCCCCGTGGCTTAAGCGGTAAAGCCATTGGAAGAAGATTTGAACTGCCTCCTGTAAACAAGGGCTGGCCCACGTGGGGTAAGCTGGGTTGTGTCCTGCACCTCCTTAACAGAATGTCACTAGTTTTCTTGATCGTTTGAGGAATTCATCTACTGAAACACTTCTAAACTTGCCGAAAAGCTCGGGTGGTGGATCCAGTGGTAAAGTGGCAATCCGCAGACGAGGGGTTTGGCTTTGCAATTGATTGAGAGTATTTTGACAAGGCCTAAATCTCATCATATTTTGATAAATGGTGATGTTAGAAAAGGAGAGCGTATTGTCCCTCCTTGTGCACTTGATTTGTTGATGCAGGCTACTTTTCTTGTCCCCTCTACTCAAGTGAAGGCTATAGAGAGATTAGAAGCACTTTATCCTATCCTGAAAGAGCTGGCATTTGTTGGTTCTCCGGGTTCCCACCATTAGCCTTCATTGCCGGAATTTTAAAAAATACGGGTTCTCACCATCAGCCTTCATTGTCAAAATTTTGATGAATATTATTTCCCACCACCAGTCTTCCTTGCAAGAATTCTAAAGAATATTGGTCCTACTTCCTTCGTGCATCCAAGATCGAGGAGAGATCGAGTGGGAGGGCTCCTCTTGCGTGCACCAAGGGCGGAACCGAGATGAGCCGAGCGAACCTCATGCATGCATATGGAAAGAGCCAAGAGTTTCCTCTCATGCAGGTCTAGGGTCATGACAAGCAAAAGTACGAGACCTGCACTCCTTCCTCATATCAAACTAGAGTGATCATGGGCCTTGTGTGTTCATGTATGGGGTCAATCGAACAGGAGTCTATTCATGTGGAGTTGGATGATTGATTTGTATTGGGTCGAAGGCTGTCTCGATCCGACGGGGGGAGATATGTGTGCCAATTGTTGAGCCGCCTGAGACATGTTTTTTTTGTTGTTGTCTGGAAGTTGTTGTAACCCTTAAAACATTTTTTTCTCTACTGTCATGCCTTCATTTTCGGCCATCCCTTATTGTAGTTATCATATCTATAACCAAAACAACATTCATAGCTACCCTGCTTAATATAGCTCTAACTTTATGGGACTGATTACTAAGCTGGGAATGATAGATCTGTACTCCTCAGCTTGAGGGGGAGTGTCAAAAACCATCCTAGTCATCCCTAGGCTCTTGATTATATGCCCAACATGAGGATCCATGAGAGGCTCACCTGGATCATGCCAATCTCCTTCTATATTTGGGTGGCTGATTTAGGAAGGATTATATTAGGACAATTATGAATTATTCTATAATTATTTGTTTCTTTATTAAGTTATCTTGTATAGATTTATAAATAGAGATAGTTTTGTATAATAACATTAAGCATTTTCCCTCTCCAAATATTTCAACCTCACAAATGGGTTTATAAAGGGTTAAAGTGGCTTTTAATGGACTTATGGGGTCTAGGGTAGACTCCTAAGGATCCTCGATACCACTTAGGGCAAACTAGGATTAATCTAGCATAACAAGGGCCTTATGATGGTGCAACCAATAAAATTACGTTAGGATTACAAACTAAAAGTCCTCCTTATCATAAACATAGACAAACACTTATATAATATACCAAGGATTTTTAAGAATCCACCCATGAATGTCCTATAGTGAAGTTCATATAGTAAGGAAGAAATATAAATAACTAAACCTAAGCTCATCGGGATTATGTTAATTTCATTCAAAAATGAGGTCAACAATTCTCACACTGCGTGAAGTCCTCTCCAAAGTCGGGTCCGCCTCTCTTGATTTGTTTGCATGCCTTAAAAAAAAAGGAAAAAAGCCCTCTATACCATTCATTGCTCTCTTCCTCACAAAACTCTTAGGGCCCTCCAGATCTCTTCTCTCTTGCTCCCAATTTTTGGATTTTCCTCAAGAAAATTCTTCATATGCCACAGAGGTGTTAAGATCGACCCAATAAAATCAAGAAGATCATTGAAATGTCACTGCCAAAAAAACAGTTTTTTTTCCTTATATATTTTCTTTCCTTGTCCTAATTTGTTGATTTACTGTCATTAATTTTTCAGTGCTCTTAATTTTGATAAAAAATGACACATCAAAAATACAAATTGCAAAAATTAATTTATTCACTAATTTTATATATTTCAAATTGATTGATGAAATTCTCAAATTATTTTGAACATCATCACCAATTGGTTTTAAACTTTAGTGCTGCTTGTTTATATGTAAAGAAAGTCATTGAATTAATTAGTGAATCGATATCTCTGAATCCTTTTTTTTTTTTTCATAAAAGCTACTAAGCATCATATTGCTTTCATTTAGCCCTAACTCTAAGTTTTCCTGAATCATTTAACCATCTATGTATGGCATATGTGATATGTGTGGATAGATGGTTGAAAATATGAATGCACATGAGGGAAAGGGTGATGGTGGATGAAAGGAAAATAGATATTCAAATGCACGTAATGTACATGGTTGCATGTATGAATTTATATGGGAGGATGGATGACTTGATGGACAGATGGATGCAGGTATGCATTTACACAGATGAATGAATGGATGGATAGATTGTTTAAATTATGAATAAATGTATGCAGGTATGGATAGATACAGCCTGGAAATACAGAAGGATGATTAGATAGATGCACATATATATATACATGAATGTAAAGATGGATGGATGCATATCCGTATGGACGTCATAGTAGGCTTGGATGTATCTTTATATGTATAAGAAAACAATGGGTTCATATCAGACTACTCTTGTAGTAATATTTTATTTCCTAAATATGAAGACAACGTCCAATTCATTTATTTCATCAGTGCAATTATGTCTATTTGTTTGGGAAGTTATATTTTCGTCCTAACTATGGTCCTCCGTAGCTTTAAAAAACTGAAGTCATCCAACAAAATTTCCAAAAACTAATTAGACCGAGGAGTCGCCTTCTTTAAAAATAAATTCTCATAGGAACAACACTATGAGTTTGGCAATTTATCTGCTGTGGGCGTCAAAGCATTAGAGAACAATTCCCCAGCATGAAAGGATTGAGAAGGACCCACCCATGGTATACCAATCAGCATACCCACCATAAGTTCAAGAATCAAGATATCCAAGTGCTCCCACACCTACACCCCCAAATAAGGACTGTAAAGCGGGACTATTTAAGATTCCTTTCATATTTTGAGCAAACAAATTATTACTTCTCAAATAATGAGAATCAAATTTGTCAGTCAAGTAAACTGAGGAACCAAGAAGGGCTTATTTTAATGATAAGTGGAACATTCGCGCATCGCCACATCTCTGCCTTTTTCTCTAGCCGAAAAAAATAGCTTTTTGGGTATACGCAGCTGCAAAGTTGCAATCCTGCTCACACCCCTAAGAATTTGCTCGTTGGCAGCAGGCATTGGCATGATATACGAAAACAATTCAAAACAAAGCACACAGTTTTGACTTCATAGCAAGATTATCGGTTATTCTCCTTGTAGCTTTAATTGTATCTTCCCAATCAAGCTAATTACTTGAACAAAGAAAATTTCATATAAAAGAATGAAATTTTTTGTTATAAGAGAACAAACTGCAACTGGTATCAAGCTGAAGCTGATCTGAATAATTGTATATGATGTTAGAATTCTTAAACATACATAATGTTAAATTATGAAGCCTATATTTTTCCCTAAAAAGAAAATGCACTGCTAAAACTTAAATGCAAATCAACCTTATTTGTGGATTATTTCATTAACATTTTTTCAACGGGTACGCTTTTTATATCTAATATACTACAAGAGAAATTATGATTGCAATTAATCAAAATAAAATCATAATGAAACCTGCAATTGCGACAGCATTACGTAGCCATCCATATAAATTTTTTTGTGTATTTTGCACGTTGATCTTCTTTTCTATTTTCTCGTCTTTACCCTTTAGATTTGAATTAAATTTTGCTATTTACGAACACTTCTCAGTACAAATATGAGAAAGATATTATTTTTAACAAACCTCTATTGTGCCTGCAACTTGTGGCTTATATTTGATGCATTGTTTATACAGGAGATCTTCAGCTATATAGTGGGGGTCAACAAGATGGCCTCGCAAGAAAATCTTAAAATTTTCAGGTAAACGCAAATACAGGATGGAAGCATATGCCTGTAAAAATGCAAATAATGGAATCAGCAATATCATCATCAAATACAAATTAAAGTTCCACTAGCACAAAAAGAGCTGACCCGTAGAGAATAATGAAAACGATTTCCAATATGCCCTTCATTCAAATCTTTAGCAAACCTAGAATTATGCCTCGCTTTAGGTGTTCCGCTTATTAAAATATCCTGAAAACAGTAAATGTTTGGAAGAAAATCACTCTATAGTAAGTAGATAACCATGATTCATAAACTATAGCATTAAAATTAAATTATGCATTGAGCAGAGAACTCCAACTAAATGGCATTAAGAACTGAAATAACGGACAAATTTAAAATTAATTAATTTATACAATGCTCAATATTTGTAGATGAACAGTGTTCAATGAGGACAGGCCTAGAGCAGTTTGTAATAGGTAAACAGCGATCATGTCCATATGAACCATAAATATGAAATGCGTGTAAAATCAACCACACAAGAAACGAAGCAAAGTTATCTTACCTTCTCATTTGTGTCAAAATCAAGCTCAGGATCTCCATTATCGTTTTGCCAAAGATTGAAAACAATAATTCTTGTCCCGCAACCTTTAATATGGTTGAACTGTTCCAGAGGTTCAAATAAAATCAAATTCAAAGGATTGTCAATAACTTCAGATGAATATCTGGATATTATTGAATGGTATGCAGTGAAGGCTTTCACAATAAAGGTAAAACGAGATACAACAGAGTAGCTGTAAAGTGTTCATTCATATTTTAAAACAATGGTGATAGCTGCAGCACAGCCTCATCCGTAAGAAGACTATCGAGTGGAGTGTAACACTGTAGTGACAGCAATATTGTTTTATACTTGGTGGTTGTGATTTGCTTCTACGGTTATATGCGGAGGGCTAGAATATGAAAGTACGAGTGGTGTTAAAACTGTAGGATGAGTACGGTTATTAATGCCATTAGCCACAAATTGATGGCCTGGACTAAGACGCTTCAACTTGTCGCGTAAGCAGTGAAACCGATTGTTGTTTGTTTCTTAACAGATTATAAGAGGATTGTCCAGCCAATGAAGGCACAATATATGATTGTTGATTTTTTGTCAAGGACCCAATCCGAGTCTGCGTAGGTTGTGAGCCAAAGGTTACCTTTGTAGATTAGCAAGCCGTAATGAAGGGTGCCTTTCAGGTAGTGGAATAGTCTCTTGAGTAGTTGGTAGTGAATGAGAGAGATTTATGCATTTGTTGGCAGAGATGATTACAAAATAACTAATGTCTGGGCAAGCAAAATAGGGCAATGGAGATATATATGGTGATTGCCTACATCTTGTAGAGGAGCAACAAGTTTTTCGTGCTGAATGTGAATCCAAGTTGTTAAAGGTGAGTAACGAGTGTGGTGAAACATTACCGAGGCGATTTTTTATAGTTGTAGATAGCCTTATGGAGAAATACAGATCGTCAACACTTTGGCAACATGTTTGAAGGTTTCCGTATAATCTAGTCCATATTCTTGTAGATAACATTAAATGAAAAGGCAGGCTTTCTATTGCGCAAAGGTGCCATCTAAATTATACTTGTGTCTTATGTCCATTTGCAACCAATAAGGTTCTAATTCTAAGATGGTAATACAAGCGTCCATGTCTCTTGTTGGAGAAGAGCATTGAAATATAGCTTGTCACCATTCTGAATCTATGATGGTTGTGGTGTAGTAGGTGGGATCAATATTAGTGATGGAATGGGAGACTGAAGATGTGCTTCAGGCGGCCATCCCCCATTTTTTAATAGGTTCGCATTGGGTTGCTTGGGATTATAGTGGTAGGTATACTAGCAAGGGGTGATGGTGTTGGAACTCCCGTATTGAGGAAAATTTGAGTTGTAGGTGGAGGGGTCGAACGAACAGATATATGTGGAAGCTGGACTTGATGAGGAGTTGTAGTTGGGTGAACTAAAGAATGCATAAAGGCGCTATTCGAGAGAGATACGAGTGTTAAATGTGGTGGAGATGATTGTTTGCAATGCACCGACTGAGTGGATTATAGAGTTTCATACGGGAATATGTTCTCGTTGAAAACAGTATTGACAGTACCGTATATCTTGCCCGACAGAAATTTAAAGAAACAATAAGCCTTTTAAGATTGAGCATGGCATATGAACACAAATGGGAAGAATCTTGGGGGTACTTTGTTTGTGGAGTAAGGTTTGAGGAAAGGAAAGCACTGACACCTAAAACTTTTTAGGCATGAATAGTTGGGTCGAGATTTGTGCAAGATAATCATGAAAGACGGTAACCAATTGATGAAATAAATGGAAGTAAAGAAGAGATCTACCCATAATATAGGTACGTGGGCATTGAGTAGTGGAGTGCATACGATGCCAACAATATGCCAATGTTTGCATTTGGTGACATCCTTTGCTCGGGGTTATAAGGTTGGGTATAATGATGATTAATGCCCTACATTAAATATATTGGTGGGTATATTGATGATTAATGCCCAACATTAGCATAATATATTTGAAATGTAAATGCCCCAAAATAGTCCCCGAATATTAGTAAACATTGAATTTAGTCTCACACTTTCATGATGACTGACCCAATTTAGTCCCTCAACTATTAGTAAATGTCCTAATTTGATCTCAAGACCAAAAGTAATAATTAAATACTAAATATTTTGCCCTTGTTGGGAGAGTTTAGGTTGTGATTAAGGTCAAACTTTTAAATAGTTGATTAAATTAAAGATAAAACATACCTAAATGTTTTGCCCTTATTTTACGAATATTTTATGATCGGGTTTCAAATTTCTCATAGGCACAAGCTTCTATATATAATTATCCCTCCTAATGATGATAGAGAACTTTTAATGAAGGTTAGTCATTAAATAGACACTAAATGCCGCACATATAGTAACAGCAATTTTGATTTTATGATTTAAAATTTTATCATTCTATACTTAAAGTGGATGCTGGGGGAATGATGACAGACCCGATCCATATCTCATAATTCCATCAATCGGCGTTATCATGATCCATACTATGATTAGTCAGAGGAAATAGTTCACCCCTTGCCAAAGGGTTCATATTTGGAACCATGAGTTGCGTCATTTAGGGGAGCCCATACACCTAGGTTAGATGTTTGTCTAATGGAACAAATTTAAGTTAGCACTAATTAATAGAGTTTTATATTAAGTGCACCCTATAATTCATTATTCAAAAAAATTTAACCATGGGAGAACTTGAGGGCTCTACACACGATCGTACCTCAATTGTGTCATTTTGACAAAATCACCCAATCAGAAGGTCCTGGTTATAATTGTTTACTTGTGATACCATTTGGCAACAAAACTACTAGTTAGAGAACATGTGTTACGCCTTGCACACAAGAGATCATTTGAGAATGAATCGTAATGATACACTCAAGAAGACATTGGGAGAGTTAGCGTTAAAAGAAGAGAGTGAGAGAGAAGTTAATAGAGAGAGAGGAAAGGGAGAAAGATAGTGGGGGAGAAGATGAAAAGTGAGAAAGGAAGAGTTGGAGAGAAAAATAGAGAAAAATAGAGAGAAATAGAGAGAGAGTAAAAGGGAAACCTAATGATAGTGAGAAAAAATGAAGGGGAACGATAGTGAAAGAGAGGGGAAAGAGAGATAGAGAGAGGAAGTGAGATGGAGAATTAGAGAGAGAATAAGAAAGGGAGGGAGAAATGGAGAGAGAAAGGGAGCATGAGATAAATGGAGAGAAAAAGAGAAATAGAGGGTGAGAGAAGATAGAGAGAGGAAAAAGGAAATTAGTGCAACAGTGACGACAACAACAGCGGCAGTGAGGATGGCAGCGACAATGACAGCGTTCAACAGTAGCTTGGGCGAGCTTGTGCCAGCAGTGGCAATGGTGGTAACATGGTGAGATGAGGTCACACGAAATAGAAAAACAAGTGTAAGAGTGAGAGGTATTGAAGATATTGAGAGGGAGAGAGGGAGCATGAGGGAGAAATATGGACGGTCGTGCACAAGCATTCAATTTGAAGTGGTGGTCATGCGCAAGTACGATATGGTATAGACTTGGTATGCCTCGTACATAACTGCATGTAAGGTTTTTTTTTTAACAAATACTTTTACCTTATAGAAGCCATCACACTGAATAAAAGATTATTAAATAATCTTAATTTCGAAGAAAACAAGTTATTTCACATGATTTTTCATGAACAATTGATGCAACTTCAATTCTTAGCTATAGCTTACCTGATTTAGCAACTCCTCTTCTTTAGAGAATGGGGACCATCTTAAAAGAGCAGACAAGTTATCACGAAAATGTTTATCACTATGGCGGATCATCCTTACAAATCCTCGAGTCAAAGGATTGAAGTTGTAGTCCACCTACCACCAATGGAAATCAATGAAAATATAATTATACTTGAGGAAAAGTGATCCGACCTAATAGCAATTGACTGTCAAAAGAAGTGAGTGAACATAAAAAGTATAGTAATATCAAGGGAACAAAGAGATGCTGAATGAAATTACTCTTATGGAAATCTTTACCATTGGCACTAGAACATCATCACAGCCTGTTTGCCTTAGAAAAGTATATGAAAGAATCCCAACACTTTGAGTTAATGACCTAATGAACACAAGTCAGAGATGATTCATGGTTACAATTCCAACAGAGTGGATTTGGAATGAAAATAATGATGGAAACAATCATTCTAGACTATCAGTGTTACAAAGGACCCAAGTAAAGCAACATACAGACAAAGCTATATGTTACATGCCAAAAACGCATGTCTGATTCAAGATGGGACTTGCCTCATTATTCTAAGACTAAAAATTTCCATTTAGCTAAGGGGCCGCTTGATTTGTTGAAAAAAGAATGTAGAGTGAACAAGAATACAATGTGAAATGCAATATATTTGAAATGCTTAGAGTTGTTTGGATAAATATAAAACAAATATAGGTGAATTTTGTAATTTTCTTTCAAGAAAAATGAATACAATGTAACGCTCAACAATGGTAGTGGTCAACAGCAATGATGGGCGGCATTAATGGCAAAGGGCGACAACCAGCATCGAGTAGTGGTAGGTGGCCACTGACAACAAGTGGGTGACGAGGTTGACATGGAATCGGAGGAGGCAAAGGGCGGCGAGCAACCGACAGCTACGACTGGTGGCGGACAATGGGAGCCAGCTTGCTATGAGAACGGAGTTAGCTTGAGATGTATTTTGGAATTCAACCAAAAATAGGCAAATTTTGAATTCATCAAAATAAACTACAAAGTGAATTTAGAATTAGCTAAAAGTTTACTATATATTCATTTTTCATCAAACCAAATAACAAACTTTTTAAAACCTTGCATTTGAAATACTTTACGCTCACTTTGAACCAAACCAAATAGCCCCTTAATTGATTAATTGTAAAGATATTTTAGCTTCATTATTATACGCCATTCCATGGTAAAAAAAAAACCAAATATAATCATCTAAAGCATATCAGTACTGTCTAATTAAAAATTGATGGGAAATCATTGACCAGGCCTCAAAATTGCATGAAGTTGCACTGTCAGCAAACTCACCTGCAGACTGATAATTTCAAGTACGGTGTAGAAGCCTTAAGATAGGTGTGAAACTTGTAAATCTTTTTTTCTTTTTTGGAAATACGAGTGTGTAATACAAAAAGAGATAAATGGATAGGCTAACAGGGAAACTACAAATAGAGCATACTCACAAGCCTTGCTTTTAGTGATGTGCATAAGACGAAGCTTACTCAAAAAAAGGATTCACTTAGCAAGATTGCAAGTTAATGCAGTTGGTATTCAGCATGCAGCTATGATCTTCAAGAACAAGAAAGCAACTATTTTGGAGCTCCAAAATTGATAGCATAGTCAATAAAGAAGCAAACAAAAAACAGAATAATAATGATATTACCTTTCTTTACAGCCACGACTAAAAACAAGTACATCTGGCCCTAACCGCATAGTGCTGGTTTTAAAACCATTTCCATCTGATCACAAGTACATTTATTGAAAGAGCAATGAATAAACCAGAGAAAATGCATGATGATAAGTGGAATGCCCATACATTGTCCAATCGAAGAATTTGATTGTTTATTTGAAAATCCAAAACTCATACAGTGCCGTATAGACTCCGGATCCATTCCACCTCCATCATCTATTTCCACAGTTCAACAAGAAGATTATCATCAATAAAGTCAGTTCGTGATTATAAAGCCTTTAGCCAACGGTACCCAAAGATCTGAATCATCACAGTTGGGGACTCTAGTAAAATGAATACCTTGAATCAACAGAGCGTGACTGCCCCCAAAATTTGCTATTTTATCTATAATAACTGAAGTTGCTCCATTGCATGCCTATTCCAAGTTATGCATTCCTTATGGACATCAGTTCTGTTTTCGAAATTGTCAATCATGGTATCCACATGATTCATGAATGCAATTAAAAAAAACAGACAAGAAATTGGAAATACAGATCATCAAACTAACACAACCCCTCCCTCACTCTAACGAAACAAAACAAACAAAAATAGGAATATAAATGAATACCTCATCAACTGCATTGTCAAGAAGCTCGGCTATGGCTGCAATTGTGAAACGAATATCACAATAAATTCCATGTGACTTTAATATAAATCAAGAGTACAAATAATGAACAAATTCATTTGAAAAAAGCTATGAGGCATACCGCTAAAAGCCCACTTGTGTGAAGTAGCATTTGAATGAAGAAATTTGGGATGGACACGCATGCGATTTTGATAAGCTGAGGTCAAATAAAGCAAATCATTAAATTTCCTATAAATATGCAGATCCGCATTTAATGGTTTTATCTGAAGCATATTCAGCAAGAGTTTAATCAACTGATCAAATATATGTTTTTTGGAATAACTGTACTTCCTTACTCTTCGAGGTTGGTTGGGTAGCATCAACAGCAGAATAATCTCCAGCCTTCCAGAACTGTCTGCAGGGTGGCAGAACTTTATGTGAGGTGGACCACTGGAATGATGGATTGAGAGAAGAATTCCTCATTTCAGGTAAGGAACTATTTCGTAATCCATTTATACTTCCAATCTCCAAAAACCCTGATGCATTCAAATCTGTTGAGATAACAGAACAAGTCAAGTCAATGACCAAGTTCATGAGAAGTAAACTCAGTACGGATTTACATAGATGATAAAATTTTCAACATAAATCTAACAGAACACGAGCAAAAAAAAAAATTTTAATCGACAAGTAGAAGTAATGTGATCATTAATAAATAACAGAGTATTAGCAGCATGAATGATATCATTGCGACAAAAAAATATAGGAAATGAGAAAATGATCAAAATGGTCTCTTGAATATTTATGAGAGATCAAAAGTATATTAAAGGATCATTGGTCGCTCAACTTCTTTAAAAAAAAAAACAAAATAGTTTCACCATGGGGCTATTTTAATTTTTTTTTAAATACTCGATGGACTAAAATGGTCTTTTAATATAATTTGTGACCATTTTGATCCTTCATAAAAAGTAAAGCAACTATTTTGACCATTTTCTCTATAGTAAAACTATAAATCACTCCTGAAAACATTTGTTGGATACTCCAAAATTTACATTGTCCAGAGTCACAAAACTTTTGCAAGCTCTGTAAGAATCGGCCCTAGTTATTAACAGAGGGGCGTGGGTCTCACAAACAGAACAGGAGAAGTTCGCGAAACAGGCACGGGCGAACGGCCGAACTCACGCGAAAAGGTTTGGGGAAGATTCGTTTCACCATTTTTTAGCAATCGATCGACTTGGAGGGTAAGATTAAACAACTCCTTTTCATTCTTATTGTTATATAAGCGGAGATTTCGGAGAAACAACGGTGAAAGAGAGGAACGATTTGAAAGAAAGCGAAGGAAGAATGTTTGTTTTATTTTTTTATATAAATTTGTTTCCTATTTTTAGTCTGATTAGTAGAAATATTAAATTGAACATGAAGGAAGATTGGAAAGCGGAAAAGAGAAGTTTTTGAGAAAGAGGAAAATATTCGGGAAAATTCTTTTCTTCCAAAAGTGAATAAAGTAAAATATTATTTGAGTGGTTTATATCAATTTATATTCTCAAATGCTAATTAAAGAAATCATTTTATGGTGGAGGAAGAAAGATTTACAAAGAAAGAAAGAAAGAAAAATTCGCGTTGAAGGCTTTCAGTGCAAGAAGACTATTGGAAGAAGAAAGATCAAAGTGGGTAAATTACCATCATGTATAGTCATTTTATTATTGAACTTTTATTTTATTTATTTTTCATGTTACTATGCAAGATGACACAAAAGCTTGTATAATGATGAATGTTGGCATTAAATGAACTCAAATACCAAAAAGAAAAACAAATGATATGATCTATATTTAAAAGTATAAATGAGATCTATATTATAAATAAAAGAATAAATGAATGAAGGATATAAATGAGATTGACATATTAAATAAATGAATGAAAGACAAAAAGAAAAGGATATGCATGCAAAAGGTATAGGAGTTCACCTCCGTATAGTACTGACTGGGGAATCAATGTACCCGTGCAAGTAAAAAAAGGGAAAAGGTAATGAAAAAGGAAAAGAAAATGGAAATGGTTAGACCTTTGGTACATTTAGATGGTGTTTCTGTACAAAATAAATGGGAAAAGGAATACATGTGAAAGTAAATGCTATAAATGAAAATGATATAGTATACATATAAAGGAATGAGTGTATGAAGTGAAAATGATGTATGAAGGAATGAATAGAATCAAATGAACTAAAGAAATGAAATGTATTTCAAATGTTAAATGAATGAACATATATCAAAAGTTATATGTATTGTACGTTATGCATGTTAATTGTTTTAGCAATTATCCACTGAGTTTACTCTGTAAACTCATTCTATTAAATAAATATTTTTAGATAATTCGCCAAGGATTTAGAAATGGCAGAAAGAGAAGAATATGTCTATAGAAGACGGAGAAATAATGAAAACATGTAATTTTATAATTTAACAAATGTTAAGTATTAGAAAAAAAATTAGTGGCTCTTCGGTTGAATGGAGTAAATTGTATGTTACATTGCTTATAAATTGAAATGATTTGATCCTACCGTCCGACTTTAGTTCCCGCCTCGTTAGGTCGAGCTTTCGAGTTGGGTCGTAACAAGCTCGGCTTTTGAAAAGCACTACTTTCATGCTATTTTGTATTTCAAAGATGGCTAACAATGTCTCAAATCATAACAATCTAGCCATATGCATCATACTCACTCTTTGTTCCCCAACCAAAGATTCATGTAGCCATTTACCTAGACACAGTCCTTTCAACAAGAACACAATGCATTCCTTGACTAAATACCATGATGGGTGCATTACGAATGAAAGAAACAATTGTTATGAACTCAGGCATTTATCAAAGACTTCCATCATGTTCATGATTTTCCTTACAGTGATAGTATGATGATCGTAGCATTTCTCACCAGTTAGACTTTACAAATTGCAAGATATAAATCCTTCTCAGTTAGATGATGAAGCTGGTAGTGAATAACCACCAACTTGGAAGGAATGAATAAATGCCCAACTTTACTTGGTTCGGCCAAACAAGCTTAGAATCTAAACATGGATGCCCAAATTGCTAGAATCTAAGCATATCTTAATAAGCTCATGGATTGATTTTTAGATTTTTATTTCCACCAAAAACTTCCATGGTGAGCCATAATATGATTTGATGTGAATGAAGCACTGGAAATTTATGGTTGAAACTCTTTCTCAAAAATGATAAATAACCCCCTTTTCTCTCCCTTCTTTCCCTTCACTTTTTCCTCCAATAATGGTTACCCACGAGCCGTATAATACCTATAAATATGGGTTGAACCGTTGAAATACCTTATAATTTTGTATTGATAAATGAAATATTTTGATGGAGAAGTGCACTTCATTTACTTATTGTTTAATGGCTAAAAGTTGTTTGTCTATTTTTAATCAGTTAAGTAGTTGCCTTTATATTTTATACTTGCTCTATGCTCCTAAAATATCTTTTTTCCACTACAGAAGCATCCTCCAAGCCCAATCAATCAACAATCAAAACCTTAAAACAATTCCAAATACTTTAGTATATATATTGGTCAAACTAAGAAGCACTAGGACCTAGTATTGTTCCCTACACCTTGGCATCTCATTAAACACCACCATCAACACCAGATCATAAATTCACATTCTAAGCTAAACCCAAAACCCTACAACAAAACTAAAAGGTTATATTGATCTGAATACACCTCATTGCTTTATAACGGTTTTATCAATCATTTCTAAGTCCACATATTAAACACAAAAACATAAACCCCGTATAAAACCTAATCTTCTTCATCAAACAGAGTTCTTAAATACACAAAAGGTATTATGCCCTCTTGCTTTGCATTATTGCATAGCGCGCATCAGTGTTCGTCCATGAATGCTTGCTTTCACTTGCTGCATTACATTCAACACATCCAATGAAAACCTTGTCAAATCAAAACAAAAACAAAAAATCATAAAATATAAATGCATACCCTCCATGCACTCTAAAACCCCCAAATGTAGGGTTTCCGATCAACTCCTATCACCTGCAACGACACAAAAAAAAAACCCAATAAACATCCAACAAAACAAATAGTTTTCTCAAACCTCAAATAAAAATAGTATTTCAACTTCACATTAAGAAAATAAAAATTAAATCATCATTTCTCTAAAACAGATTTTCCAATCACAATCAATAGAATGAACACTGAATGAGTAGTTCACATCAGATAAAAGCAACAGCAAGATAGGAAATGTATAGAGGAAGGAGGGAAACTTTACCTCGGTTAATCTCTGCAACTAAGCGTCTAACGCTTTGCTTTGATCATAAGTAATGGGAGACAAAGAAGAGTTATAAGCCCGTGAACGGAAATCGGTGGCCACTCCACTTCCGTCGCTTTTTGCGGAAGTGGAAATTGGGGCGCGGCGCGGAACAGAGATAGAGAAAATTATCAAAATATTTCGGTGGCCATTTTACAAGAAAGAGTATGTTTTAAATTTAAATTAGTCTAAAAAATATTTTAACAAAAAAATTTAAAAATAAGCAAATAAGGAACTTCAGTTTTAATAGAAATTAGAATTTAATTCTCCGGTTTCTATTTTAAGAATAATTTTAAAAAAAATCGGAATACAAAATTACGATTTTTTGAGAAACCGGAATTTCTTAACCCCGTTTCTTAAAATTTAAAACATTAGAAATCGAAAATAAAAAGAAAGTAATAAATTGCTATTTTATAAAAACTGAAACCGAAAATTAATTCCCATTAAATTATTCTCAAATAAATATTTAAGAGTTATAATAATATAAATAGAAAAAGTAAAATTAATTTTATTTAATTTTTTAAAACATAATCAGTTTTTATAAAATTTAAAACATTAGAAATCGAAATTTAATATTATAAGTTTTAATCATAAAATATTTAAGAAAAAATAATATAAAGTTTATAAATATTTTAATATAAAAATTAATATAAAG